GCACCCCTGCCCGGAGAGCAGCGCCAGCCGCCAGAAGGTGCCAGGCTCCGGGCGTTGGGAAGAGAGCCCTTCCCGCTGCTCTCTAGGAACAGGGACAGCGGGGCTTGGCGCTGGGGGCACCGGCTGGCACCGCGGATCCTGAGCATTTCTCCCAACCCGATGCCAGCCTGACAGGAGGTGCCCTTCCTCTCCCCGAAAGCTGCCTCCTTCCACATCTTCAGGGGCAGATCCGGGAGGAAGGGGAGTCGTCCTGCCATCTTTGTGATTTCTGTTATCTGCGCTCAGGCTTGGGAGGGGAAGGGGAGAGGATGTTATTAAAATCAGGGCGTGGTCTCTCTGGGAAGAATCCTTTCTTTGGGAGGGAGGTGAAGTTGTGGCTCCCCTACTCCCCGGGCCCAGCACACACTCAGGCCTAAAGTGGGCACTGCCAGGAACTTCCTCCACTCCCCCCCCCTGCTGTGAGCCACTGCCTTTTGTTGTCATGGCAACTGGGAATTAGCGTTTTCTTCAGCAGCACAGACCCAGGAAGGCAAAGGGAGGAAGGGTGATGGGTTGCCCCGCCCCAATCCCTCCCACCCCTTTCCCTGAAAAATGGGGGAGCCAACCCCACCTTGGGGAGGTTCTGGAATCGGAACTAGGGCTGTAAATTCTACACCTGGTTCTGCCCAAAGCCCCCTGCTCTCCTAGTCCCCACTCTCGGCTAGGAAGGGGAGAAGGGGGGAAGGGGAACCCAGAGAGGCCTTAGGGAGGTATGACGTCATTTCTATCAGACAGACTGACAACATCTGTGGAGCATCTATCTACACTGGGCTAGGCCTAAGATCCAGAGGCAAAATAAAACAGATGTGGTTTTTGACTTCATGGAGCTTACTGTCTGGGGACACCCATCTTTCCTGGCTTTGACTCAAATTGTGTATTCTTACCCAACCCCTCTAAAAAAAAAAAAAAAAAAAAAAAAAAAAAGACATCCAGGACAGCCTCCTGACTTGTGTGGCTTCAGTTGGTTGGAGCATGGTCCTATATACCTAAAGGTTGCAGGTTCAATTCCCAGTCAGGGCACATACTAGGTTTCGGGTTCAGGGCTCGCTCTCTCTCTCTCTCTCTCTCTCTCTCTCCCTCCCTCCCCCCTCCCTCCCCCCCTCTCTCTAAAATCAATAAACATGTCCTTGGGTGAGGATTTAAAAAAATAGAAAGGACAGATGGTGGGCATAAACGCTTAATTTTTTGTTGAGTCATAAAGCCTGGATTTTCATTGTAGCTCTCTTTATTAGCTTTGTGACCTTGGGCAAATCAATTGATCTCTCTGATCCTCTGTCACCTCCTCCTCGAAGAACTGGGCACGAAATATCTGCTCTTCCTGCCTCCCAGGACTCTGGGACCATTCCGTTTACCTTGTTGGCTGATCGTGAGTGGGAGGTCCTTCTGGATTCCTTTCTCATCCTCTTTTTTCCCTCCTCTAGGAGAGGCATTTTGGAACCTTTGCTGACCTCACCATGCCGGTTGCCGCCACCAACTCTGAGACTGGTAAGAAAGGGAGAGGAAGTCAGTTAATATTAATGGTTCAGAGGGTGCCAGGCAGGGTGGGGAGCAGCTACCAGGCACTCCCACAGGTCCCTGTAGGAGCACCACTGTCCACCCAGCCACTCAGCCATTCATTCAGGCAACTCCATGGCCCTCCCACACCTGCCCCAGGATAGCGCTGGAGACAGAGCTTAACACACTTCCTCGGAGAGCAGGGGCATGAATGCTTCAAAGATAACGGCACACTCACTATTGCTGGAGGACTATGGCATGGGACCTGGCTGGTGAGAAAGTGACCCCCTAGCTGGGCCTTGGAGGATGGCTGAGGTAGAGGGACAACAGCAGCCCAGCCTGGGGATGAGAAGTCCATGATGCGGTGCCCACCAGATAGGTGGAGCAGACCAGCTAGAGATGGGTGTGTGTGTGTGTGTGTGTGTGTGTGTGTGTGTGTGTGCAGGGGCGTAGGAGGCTATGCAGGGAGGATGCCGGATCAGGAAGCCTCAACTTGGTTCTGTAGGAGCTTTTAGGGCAAGGGAATGGGCCACCCAGACAAGCTAGGAAGCCTCAGGAGCAAGCTGCTGCTTAACCTCCCAGAGCCCGTTTTCTGTTCTGTAAAGAGGTTGATGGGAGCCTCCAAGGCTATGTCAGAGAATGAGAGTTACCGTTAGGAACAGTCACTCATCATGCTATGCTCCAAATAATTACCTCATTAACCTGTAACCTGAGTGAATCCCTCCCTTTTGGGACCTAGGTTTCCCCATCTGTAAGATGAGGTGATGGGATAAGGTCATTGGTCCTGGATCCCTTTGAGAACCTGATGACAGCCATGGCCTTCATTATAGACAAACTAGAGGCCCAGTGCACGAATTCATGCATGGGTGGGGTCTGGCAGGCCACCCTAGTGGGGGCCCATCAGGCCGGGCCGGTGTGGGGGAGGGGCTGCAGGCAGTTGGTGGCCAGCTCTGTCCCCATCAGGGTGTTAAGCCGATCGAGGGGGCTGGTGGGGGAGGGGGAGGCAATCAGGGCCTGGATCAGGCTGGTTGGCTGACACAGTGGGTTTCATAGCCACCGGTTGTTCTGGTCGTTCTGGTTGTTCCGCTGTTCCGGTTGCTGGGCTTTGTATATATAGATGCTTCTCTTCACAAAATCTGTATTCCACTCTGGGGTTCATGGACCCTTAAGTGCATTTAGGGACCACCAGGCGAAGTTCCCTGTGCTAGAGGCTAAAGGCCCTACAACTCTAACCTGCTCTGAGTTGTTTGTCTTTCTCATGGCCTAGGTGCCTCCCTCCCAAGTAGCCCTTGCTGGAGGCCCTGCAGCTGCCTCTGCAAGATGTCCCAGGCTCCTAATGGCGTTAAATGACTGTTGCTTTCCTCTGAGAAACTGAACCAGGAAAGTGAAGACTGTTGTGAGGGGCCAGAACCTAAACTGTGGCACCATTGTCCCCCAGGAAAGGCCTCTTCTTCCTGCCGTGGAGGGACTGCACCAATGTCCCCAGCTTCTGCAGCCTTGGAAGGCTCAGTGCCTCTACTTCCTGTCCAGCCTGCTGGGTCCCCTGGCCCCGCCCCCCTGCTCTGGCATGCTTGGGCCCCACTGTAAGCTGCTTATGAGTTAATTAAGCCCATCCCTGAGCCTGTGATTAAAGGCCTCTCAATCTGGGGCTGCCCAGTAAACCCATTAATAGTGCCTGGCAGGGGTGTAGAGGGAGGAGAAGGTCCACCAATTTAGCTCCCTTGCTGCAGGCCAGGTGATGGGGGCATCGGTGGGTGAGTGGGGGACAGGGCAGGGAGGGGAGCCCAGGGGTGTGGCTATGGGGCTTATTTCCTCTGAGGACTCCTGGGGCCTCTGCTTTCCTGGGCTGCTCCTGCCTTCCCAAACCTAAAGAACAGGAGTCAGCTGCTGAACCTCTCGAAGCCTATGTTTCATCTTCTGTAAAGAGGTGACGCGGGACTAAGAGGCTATGAGGCTCTTAGGCCTTCCTGCAGGCAGCCCTCCGTGCCCAGGATTAGCTTCTGCCCTAAAAAATCTAACGGTGGGTTCTGCCCCTCCTCACTTGGTGGCCATTACACTTCCTACAGGCCTGAGAGACAACTGTGCCCCTGCCTCTGAGGTCAGGTTTACCCTCCCACTTGCCTCTTCCTTTAGGGAGAGATCCCAGCCTTGGGCTCTGCAGAGAGTGAAGCTGGCAAGGTCCTTCTCCCACCCTTCCCCTTGGTCAAGATGGTCATTGTCATTGTGGAGGGGGCATGGGATGGGTGTATTCCTCTCGCAGAGAAACCCCCAGCTCTATTTCCAAGAAGGTGGAGTGGCCCTTTCCCTGAGGGTTAGGGGTGGGCTGAGAGATATGTAGGTGATAGCATGGGCTGAGAGTGGAGAGAACTTGCCCCTGGAGTCTCCAGACTGGCAGCCTGGTCCTTTCTTTTCCCTTTACCTGATTCCTTTCTTTCTTTGACTCCAGAGGGGATGTAGGCTGAATTCAGATGGAGCTGTCCCTTTAAATCTTTCTTGCATCCCAGGGTTAACGTCCTGGTGTGTAAGCCCTCCTATTGCCATGGCAACCAGGGGTGCAATGCAAGCTGGTGCCACTCCTCCGGGGAATGGAGAGCTGGTGGCAGGAGCAGCACCTGGTGGCCTCATGGGTACAGGGTTTGAGAGTAATGGAGGCGCTGGGCTGGGGTAAATGCCAACTCTCTCCCTTCTGCCCCCCTTGTCCCTGCTGCAAGAATGCTCCTTCACTTCTCCCTTCCACAATTCCAAGATGCCCGACTTGCCCACCAGCTAGTCACCTCTTATCCAAGAGGAGGACTTAATGGGAGATGGGGGACCCGGAGAAGCTACAGCTGAGATGTGGGGTCAGAAGGACTTAAGGTACCCTTCCCAGGCACAGTGGTGCCACCTCTCATTCCCCTCCTTTTTCTCCCTGTCACCCCCTCACCCCCAATGGCTGCGTTAGGCGGAGGACTGAGTCGCTCTGGGGGGGTTGGGGATGGGAGAGGCGCTTCCTTTCATTCGAAGGGGTTATTGTAAAGGAAGCTGGGCCTGGAGAGGGGACACAGAGTAGAGGTCGGAGGGCACGGGGAGGAGGTGGCGTGGGTGTGTATTAGAGGACAGACCTTCAGAAGCGAGGGCGGGAACAAGGTGGGGCCAAGTCCCCACCCGCCCTGGGTGTCCTGCAGCTGGGCCGTGAGGGGAGGGTCTCTGAGCGCCGCCCCAGATCTGAAGGGGCAGCACCCCGGCCCCTCTCTCAGCCCCCTCCTCCCCCTCCCACGGGCTGGTACTGAACGAGGGGGCTCCAGCCAGCGGCCGGACTGGGACTCTCTTTCCCACCGCCCCCGCCTTTGACCAATCAGCAAGGCGGTCAGGGCGGCTGAACCTTTCTATTGGCTGATTCTGCAGAAGGCGCTCCCGGAGTCCCGCCTCCTCCAGCGCTGCCAGCCCCTGGCGGGGAGGCGGCCCGAAGCCGGAGCGCAGGCTACTCCTGGAGTCCGGGGCCGGGTGGGGGGCTGCTATGGCGGGCAGCCCAGGCAGCGGGGCCTCCTTGGGGGTTATATCCCGGGGATCCTCTGAGGAAGCCGACCTCCGAAGGAAAGGTAGGAAGGAGGGTCCGGAGGCCGCGGGGAAAGTAGGCACCTGGAGAGGGCGTCCCAGGTACGGGCTTCCGGGAGCCTAAGGGTCTGGCGGCACGGACCCTCCGGAGAGCGGGCCTAGGCAGAGGGCGCCAGCTCCCGGGGCTCCGTCCTTCCTCGGGGTGGCAGGCTGGGAGTCTGTGTGTGAGGACAGCTAAGGCGGTGGACCCCGAGGTACGCTGCAGAGTGGAAGGGTCCATGGCCTCTTTCTGAGCCCCCGAGGGCTCTTACAGGTCTCTGACCAATGGCAGCCCAGGCCTGGGCAGGAGGGGTCTGAAGGACAGACTAGGATGTAGTTTCTGGAAAAGGTGGGGTGAAGGAGGGGGAGAGTGTGGGAGTCCAGGAGCCCCTGAACCATGTCTGCCAGCTCCAGTTTCAGTGCCTCCTCCTCCCCATCCCCATCCCCATTCCTTCCTGGAGGAGGAGGCATTGGCAAGAGCAGTAAGAGGAGCCAGGGGCTGTCTCCACCCTTCCTCCTCCATGGCTTGGGCGCTGTTATGCAGATGTAGGTGTGGGTGGCAGGGTGGCAGGTTAATGATACCCCCTGCCCATCTCTGGCCCCCAGCTGGGCACACTCTGCTTCTCCTTTCCTCCCCCAGAACCTGCCACCCCTGGCAGCTCCGTCCTCTCCTGGGGTTGATGGGAACACCTACCTCAGGTCTCAGCGACGCTGCTGGGGCCCAGCACCAGGTGCCTCATGTCCTTGGTTATGTCCTTTCCAGGCTGAGGGTTTGCGGATCCCGGGGATGACTTAGTCTGACTTCTGCCCTTGGGCGCCCACAGCCTTCCCAGGCCTGTTTTCCCAGGTCCTGCCAATGTCCTGGGCCTTAGCTTTGGCTTCCTAGGATCTATATTAATTTCTGGATGATTATAGATCATTATCAAAGCTGAGGGGCTTATAGACACCATCTAATCCAACCCACCCGTTATATAGGGAAAGATGGAGACCAGTGAGAAACAGTGAGTTATGCAAAATCACACTGAATTGGCAGCACGGCTTGCACTAGCTAACGTGTGGGCCCTAGCTTCCTGCATGGCTGCCTGTTGTCAGGAACATGACCCGGCACTGTCTCTCTCTCTCATTCCTGAGCCCTTCGGGGGCAGGTGGTGGAGTCCGGGGGCTTCAGCCCATTCAGAGTTGGAGTGAGGAGTCTGTGATTCCCTGGTGCAGGGCAGAACCTGGAACCTGACGCCTGCTGCCCTCTCCCCTCTCCTCCCACATCAGAGTCTACTTCCTCCTGCCTGGGGCCTCCCACCTGCCCAGGCTGGCATTACCCAGGGCCTGCAGAACAGGCCACGGCCACTCCCCGCTGGGGCCCTACCCCAGGCATTCCCATGCCTGGCAGGGAAGGAGGTGCTGCTGGGGAGGGGCTGTCTTCTGTGGGGCGTGGGGTGGGGTGGTTGTGGTGTGTTTTGGTCTCGGGTGTCTAGCTGGCACCTGTGTGTCTCACTGCCTACCCCTTCCCCGCAGCCATGCAGCAAGTCCTGGACAACTTGGGATCCCTCCCCAATGCCACGGGGGCTGCAGAACTGGACCTGATCTTCCTGCGAGGCATTATGGAAAGTCCCATAGTAAGATCCCTGGCCAAGGTATAGTGCTCCAGGAGGCAGGTACCAGGGCACTGTGTCTGGGGGGTACAGCGGGGGATGGGGTGTTGGACATACAGGGCCCTGGGAATGGGGCATGTGGCACAAGAGACCCCCGGAGGGGGGTATACATGACCATCCCTGCCCAGATGGTAGCTGAGGGACTATAGGTCGGGGAGCTGTGCCAGGCCTGGCTGCTGAGTGTGGGGCATGCCCATGTGGAAGCTTGTGTGGTGTCTGCCGGCTTGTGGACTGTGATGGGAGGGGGGAGAGCATGCCTGTGTGGGATCTCCAGAGTTCATCCTGCCTTTCCCTCTGTCACTGGGCATTTTGTGCAGACATTTTTACAAGGTCACCCGCCATGCATCAGGCGGGTAAAAGAATCACTAAACGGGGGAGTTATTAAACAGTTGGTAACAGCAGTGACAGGGGCAGATGCAGTCGGCATTTGGGAGCATAAAGGACAGTTGCCTAACTCAGCCCGGGCTAGGCAGGGGAGGCTTCCTGGAGGAAGGGCCACTTGAGCTGAGTCTTGAAGAATGAGGAGGGAGGGGAGGGCATCCTGGGCCATGGGAAGAGCTGAAGCTGAAGCAAAGGTGAGAAGGGTCGGGAGTGAGTATACAGGGGACTGGCCTGAGGCTGGAGTTTCAGGTGTGAGACGGGGTGGGAGCTCCGGAGATGCTGGCAGGCGGTGGAGGGCACTGGGGGCTGGGCCCGGGTGTTGGACATTGTCCTGTGAGTAACATGGATGGAGTCTTCCATGGGTTTTAAGCAGGGGGGTGATGATGGAATATGGCCATTTTAGCAGCATCCCTCTGGCAGCCACATGGAGTTGGAGAGACTGAGGCGGGGGATGGCTCTGAACCAGACCTCTGGTCACAACAGGGCTGGAGGGACGGGAGGGTGAAGAAATATTTAGGAAGAAAATTGGCAGTACTTGGTGTTGGGGATGGAAGGTGAGGCGGGGAGGGTAGCAAGGCACCCTGGATTCTGCAGAGGGAAAGTGTGGGGCTGGGGCTGCCTTCAGCTGAGAGAAGCTGCGTGGACGAGGGGAGGGGCAGGTGAAGAAGGAGCCCCTCTCCCGAGGAGGAGGAGGGAAGGCGAGAAAGGTGCCAATGCTGTGCTGGAGGCAAACTGGGCGTTGCGTGGAATCATGTCTAATTGCTCAGAGTTTCCAGCGGAGGTGGGGCAGTCATCTGCTGGGAATTCGGGATCAGGGGTTGAGCAGGAAAATAGGAGGAATTTGGAAGTAAAGGTTCAACTAATCACTAAAGGGGAGGAGAGCAGGAACTCAGCAAAGCCAGGGAGCAGGATTGACTTGAGGTTGATGATGTCATAATCCTGACTTGCATAGCTTGCCTATATATGTATTTAGATGTAAATGCCCCTTTATATGTGTTTTTATTTTATTTTTTAACGTTTTTGTGTGCTTTTTTTCTTAATCCTCACTCAAGGATATTTTTTTCCATTGCTTTTTAAAGAGAGTGGAAGGCAGGGAGAGAAGGGTAGGGGAAGAGAGAGGGTGAGAGAGAGAGAGACATCAATGTGAGAGACTCATCAAATGGTTTCCTCCTGCATGTGCCCTGACCGGTGTATTTATTCATTGGTTTCCACACTGAAGGGCAGGGATGTTGTGGCCTATTTGCCGCTATTAAGGACAGTGCCGCCTGAGGATGTGAACGTGCTCACATCCCTCTGCTTCTGCACATGTGACAGTTCCTCTAGGGCGGGCCCTTGGCAATGGAATTGCTGATATGCACATTGTGAACCTTCCAAAGCTGATTTCAGAATTGGATTTATTAGACCACATCAGCTCTGGGTCACTTTAGCAGACTGCCAATGACATAAGGAGAGTCCCGCAGGATGACAGAAGCTCAGGGTTAGAAGGTCCTCTAGCCAGTCCCCTCCAAAGCATGACCCCCCTCAGTCGCCTTCTTCTCTGGGGCTTTGTCTAACCTATTTGATGGGCTCTCCAATGATGGGCTTGCTGGCTGGCTGGCCCTGTCATCCACTTAATCATTCAGTCACTCAGTCATCCATCATCTATTCAACAAATACTATTGTGTGCTCACCATGTACCAGGGCTATGGCAGTGAACTGTCAGCTTGTTCTTCTCCTGATGGAGCCCAAGTCTGTCATCTCCTCCTGGGACCTCACGGTGCAGCCTGACAGAGAGGTTGCCAACGTACTGTGTCAGGCTGTAAATAAACGCCCTTCTCCTGCCCGAGCTCAGGAGAATCCTTCCCATCTCCTCCGGTGTGACCCTTTGCAATGTAACTTTCCCACTTCTCGCATCAAAGGGCTGTCTCTACTCTCCAGTCTGGGCTTGACCATGTGACTTGCTTTGGATAACGGGACCTACTTCTGACTCCTTGTTACTGATTTTAATTATTATGTATGTAGCAGTACATTTCTAATCTAATAGACAGAGTGCTTTTATCAAAGATCCAGCTGTAAAGGCTTGGTTCTCCCGGCAAAGTGGCCCGGAAACCCATAGGAATGGAGTCGAGTGGAATTGCATGTGGCAGCTATTAACCTTTTTATCTTACCCTTATGGAGCTGGGCTTGACTCCTCTCTCTGGGGATGCACAGTGTGGGAGAGGCCAGGCTGGTTAGATCTGGGACCAGGGAGGGGCAGGGCCTGAGGGACAAACCCAGAGAAGTGAAGGCTCTGGAGGGAAGTCAAATCTGGCAGGAAGGTGATAAATCTAGGGGTCTGGCTGCAGACAGCAGGTGGCTGGCAGGTGGTTGGCATCTGGGAGGCCTGACATGGGTCCAGCAGCAGGTGTTTCAACGGCGGCCAAGGCTAAGGTGAAGAGTCCAATGTAGGCGGCACTCAGAAGTCCAGGCAAACGGTTACCAGGAGGGGCATCTGCCAGCTGGGAGGCCTCCACGTGAGGTGCAGGAAAAAGAGCACAGAGTTTGGAGTCGGAAGATTCACCGGTCGGCTGTGGCTTTAGGACACCTGACAGCCGCTCTGAGCTTCAGTGACTTGTCCTGAGAAGTGAGGATAATGATGCTGATCTGTCAGAGGCATGGTGGGGCTCGGTGCGGGAGGTCATGGATGTGGAGGCGCTTTGTAAATCATAAAGAGTTGTTACAATGTAGTCTGAGCCGGAGTTCACAGGGAGGACCCTACTCCTGTGGTCAGGCCAGGGTGAGAGATGGCAAAGCAAGACACGGCCCTAGAAGAATGAGGGTCCATGGGGGTCACTGACCAGCAGACATGACAAGCAGAGGCTACAGTGGTGTGGAGCCTAGTGTATCAGTTAACCTCTGCTGTGTAACAAACAACCCCAATCCATAGTGCCCTAAAACGATCGTGATTTATTTCTCACGGTTTTGTGGGTCAGTGGGGTGGCTTTTCTGGTATGGGCTTGCTGAGTGGGGCTGGGTGCTCTAGGATGGCCTCACATGCCTGCTGAGTCAGCTGGGAGGCTGTGGCATCTGGGATGGCAAGGTCTCATCCTCTGGGAGGTGGCCCCGGGTTCTTCATATGGTCGCCTCGGCCGCAAACGGGGACAAGCTCCAAATCCCAAGCACTTTCCAAGCTTCTGCTTGTATCACACTTGCTAATGTCCCATTGGCCAAAGCCAATCACATGGTCACATCAGATTGAAGAGCGAGTGATGTTTCCTTCTGGCACACCAGTCTCTGGGACTTTCAGTTTTTGAACTACTTAATTATGACCCTAGGCGTCTTCTGCCAACATCAGAGGCTGGAGTGGGACCGAGGACGGAATAACTTTCAAAGAACTGGCAGTGTGGCATTCGCAGTTGGCTTATGGTTCTGGAGCAGGAGCTGGCATATCTGGGTTCAAGTACAGGCTCTATCATTAGCACTCGGTGGCAATGCTTCGGAAAGTCTCTCATCCAGTGTCAGTGGGAGGGCAGAGCAGCCCACGCCCCATAAAGGGGAGTTTGTCAGAACCACTGCTCCTTAGCACTGCCTCTGAGGCGGCCGAGGCTCCCACCACCACCGCTGCACTTGCCAGCCGTGAGCTCAGCTTCTGGCTGAGTGGCGCTCCCCCTGTGGGAGTGCACTGACCACCAGGGGGCAGCTCCTGTGTTGAGCGTCTGCCCCCTGATGGTCAGTGTGCATCATAGCAACCGGTCATTCCATTCGGGCAATTTGCATATTAGCCTTTTATTATGTAGCAGTGGTCACCAACCTTTTGGACCTCACAGACCACCAGTGGTCCGTGGACCACCGGTTGGCGACCGCTGTTATATAGAATAGTAAAACATTGGAACAACCTAAATACCCGGGGAGACTGATCGAATAAATTATGATATTCCAAACATACAATAAGTCAAGTGCAGTAATTAAAATAATAATAATAATAATAATAAAGGAAAATCTCCATATTGTAGCATAGAGTGATTTCCAGGGCATATTAAGTTAAAAACCAAAACACAAACCAAACCTATTAAACAAAACAAAAAACCCAAGAGATCAAAGGGTGTATATAGTGTTCTCCCTTTTATGTAAGGGTCTAAAATCAGGATTTGGGGAGGGGAGATGCCTGAGGGAAAGGGGGGTCACTGTTTGGTACCAGGGCTCTTGGGGAAGCATCAGGTCTCACCTGTTCCACCTTCACCCCCAGGCCCATGAGAGGCTGGAGGAGACGAAGCTGGAGGCCGTTCGGGACAACAACCTGGAGCTGGTGCAGGAGATCCTGCGGGACCTGGCACAGCTGGCCGAACAGAGCAGCACAGCCGCTGAGCTGGCCCGCATCCTCCAGGAGCCTCACTTCCAGGTTTCCTCCAGGCTGGGGTGCAACTGGGGCAGGCCATTGGGGGAGGGGCCGGCAGGAAGTTGGAGGTGGAATGGAAAGGGACTGCAGGGCACTGGCCCACGGTCCCTTCTCTTCCCACCCCCTCCCCAGTCCCTCCTGGAGACGCACGACTCTGTTGCCTCAAAGACCTATGAGACACCACCCCCCAGTCCCGGCCTGGATCCCACGTTCAGCAACCAGCCGGTGCCTCCCGACGCTGTGCGCATGGTGGGCATCCGCAAGACCGCTGGAGAACATCTGGTGAGGGTGCTGGGCAGGGCCAGGTGTGCGGTCCGGATGCGGGGATTGAGAGTAACTAGCAGGGGTCAAAACAAAGGTAGGATCAGCTCTGCCCAGGGATCTGCCCGTGCAGACCCGGGGGCTCGCAGACTGCATATGAGCTGCGTACATACACGTGCCAGAACCCTCTTCATTCTGCCCACTCTCCCGCCTTTAGTGCTCCCGTAAGTGAAGAATTTGGGCAGAGGATGGAAGAGGGGAAGTCTGTGAGGGCGACGTGGGAGGTGGGGATGGGAACCGGGGGTCCTGGAGATCCAAACAGGGGGTACTGGAATCTTCCAATCTCCATTAGAGGATCCTGACGTGGAGCAGTGGGGCTCATCTTACCTCTCTCCATCCCCCAGGGCGTGACATTCCGCGTGGAGGGTGGCGAGCTGGTGATCGCACGCATCCTGCACGGGGGGATGGTGGCTCAGCAAGGCCTGTTGCATGTGGGTGACATCATCAAAGAGGTGAATGGGCAGCCCGTGGGCAGCGACCCCCGTGCGCTGCAGGAGCTCCTGCGCAGCGCCAGCGGCAGCGTCATCCTCAAGATCCTGCCCAGCTACCAGGAGCCCCATCTGCCCCGCCAGGTGACTCCCTCCACCCAGGTCCCCATCCAGCACCAGGCCCGAGGGGTAGCTGAACCTCCCTATCAGGGTCACAGGCCTGGGGTGGGAGCAACTCTTCAACCAGCGTTGAAAAGCAAGCTAGCGGGCAGGATCTGCGGCTGGGGAGGCAAGTGGCCAGGACACCTACAGGCATCTGCGTGTCGTGCACGCACTCACATTTGCCCTCGTCTTGGGAACCCGTGTGCATGTGCCAGGGACGTGTGCGCATTCAAGGCCTGTGGTACCCAAGTGTACCAGCGAGTGCCTGGTGTGCGGCTGTCTGTGTGCCTGTGTGTCTGTGTGGGTGCGCAGAGTCGGATTGCCAGGTGTCCTGTACAGCGGCCTCTCTGTGGGTGGATTGTGGAGGTCTGGCTGCTTTGCCCACTTCTATTGGCTCTCTAGCGTCTGCCAGAGCCGCTACCTCCAAGGGGAGGAGGTGAGTTGATGGAGGGATCCTGCATTAGGTGTTAGAGTCTCTATCCTTTACCCGGTGATCCTGCCTCCTCAATAGGTGGGGCCAGGGACCCAGGCCTGAGCACATCTCCCATCCTTCTGATTGAGTCCTTTTGTTCTAGATGCAAAGGGAGGCTGGTACCAGGGAGGCGGGCCAGGCAGGCCTGGGGGCATCGTGCCTTTATTAAAGGGGCAGTACCAGGGCCTCTCTCATCTTTGTGAGGGAAGGGGGGGAGAGGGTGGACTGTATGACACCCCCCCCCCCCCCCCGCCACAAGGGGTTGGGGATGGTGGGGTGGGGGATGGGAGAGGGCCCATCCCCTCCAGCCTCCCCTGCTTCTTCCCTTGACCCTTCCCTGATCCCTGGTCCAGGTATTTGTGAAATGCCACTTTGACTATGACCCAGCCCGAGACAGCCTCATCCCCTGCAAAGAAGCAGGCCTGCGCTTCAACGCCGGGGACTTACTCCAGATTGTAAACCAGGATGATGCTAACTGGTGGCAGGTGAGCCTTGGGTGCCCTGTCGTCTCTCTGGGTATGGTGTGGGGTAGGTCAGGGCTCGGGAGGTGTCCCCTCACTCAGAGCTTTGCCCATGTCTATTCTAGGCGTGCCACGTGGAAGGAGGCAGTGCTGGGCTCATCCCCAGCCAGCTGCTGGAGGAGAAGCGCAAAGCCTTCGTTAAACGGGATCTGGAGCTGACGCCCAACTCAGGTATCGCCCCTAGTCCTCCTCTGGGATCTGACTGCATCCCAGCCTGGCCTCACTCACCCATCTCTCTATGGCCAGGGACCCTATGCGGCAGCCTTTCGGGGAAAAAAAAGAAACGAATGATGTATTTGACCACCAAGAATGCAGGTGGGTGTTGTAGGCGCCCTCCCCCTGTCCTCCTCTAACATGGCACATCCCCTCTCTGCCCCCACCACTGACTTGTGCATATGCTCCCCTGGTTCTGATGCTGCCAGGCTTGTCCCTCGACCCTGCCCAGCTTCTTCCTGCTGCCCCTGGCCCCTGAGAACCCAGCCCCACCCCTCTCACCTGATGAACAGCCTGCTGAGCAGCGCCATCTCCCTGTGTCCAGAGTTTGACCGCCATGAGCTGCTCATCTACGAGGAGGTGGCCCGCATGCCTCCTTTCCGCCGGAAAACCCTGGTGCTGATCGGGGCTCAGGGCGTGGGTCGGCGCAGCCTGAAGAACAAGCTCATCATGTGGGATCCAGACCGCTATGGCACCACGGTGCCCTGTGAGTGGGAGCTGGGCCTGCTGGGTGGGGGTCAGGAAGTAGGAATGCCCTGGAGGCCAGGACTGGGTCCACTGAATGGGCATATGCATGGGCACCACGTTAAGTAGCACTTTGGGTGTGAGGTGTGGGGCGAGCGCCCTCTATGGGCTGGTAGGGGAACTGCAGGCTGGGATGTTTTGGGGAGTTGTCCCTTGAGTCTGTGGCCAGATGGGCTGAACTGGCCTTGCCTTTCCTTTTCTCACATTTCACCTGCTAAAAGCCCAGCTGGGCATTGATGTGAAGCAGGGATCTGAGCTGTGTGTGGCCTTACGAAAGACAGGGCTTCTTGGTGACAGAACCCGTTGGGGTGATAGCTCCTGCTTTCTGGGGGCAAGAACCAGGTCAGCTTGGCCTCGCTTTGTGGCTCCACATTGCCCTCTCTGGGCCTCAGCTCCCCCTCTGTGAGCACTGGGCTGGTTTCTCTCCATATGGATGTATAAAGTCTCTCTGTGTGTGCCCTGGTGAGGGTGAGGGCACGGTGTGTGGGAAGGCAGCAGAACTGAGCATGTGAGGGCAGCGTGCCCCCCTAGGGCTGTGGGATGCAAGTAGGACATGTGCATGTGTGTCTGCGGCAGTGCCCATTCGGCCCCTCCTTCCTTGTAGACACATCCAGGCGGCCCAAAGACTCAGAGCGCGAAGGCCAGGGTTACAGCTTTGTGTCCCGAGCGGAGATGGAGGCTGACATCCGTGCTGGGCGCTACCTGGAACATGGCGAATACGAGGGCAACCTGTATGGCACACGTATCGACTCCATCCGGGGTGTGGTCGCTGCCGGCAAGGTGTGCGTGCTGGATGTCAACCCCCAGGTACTGCTGGCCTGCTTTTCCCAGTCTGCCCAGTATCCCCTCTGGGTTCTCTGCTGGCCCCAGCGCTCCTCCCTATATTTCCAGGCACTTATCTCCCAAGCGCCCCCTCAACTACTGCTAGGGACCAAGCTCCCAAGACCCTCTTTCTCAGCCTCCAAGATCCCCAACTCCTCTAGTCTCCTCCAGTTACTCCATCCCCAGCTACTTGCCAGCTGTTCCTCTAGCACCCATCTCCAGGACTGATGTCCCATTCATCCCCAGGTACCCGTCTTCACCCCCATCACCCCACATGTACCCTTCTCTCCTGCAGGCGGTGAAGGTGCTGAGAACAGCGGAGTTTGTCCCTTACGTGGTGTTCATTGAGGCCCCTGACTATGAGACCCTTCGGGCCATGAACCGGGCTGCGCTGGAAAGTGGGGTGTCTACTAAGCAGCTCACGGTGAGGGGCTCTGAGGTGCGGTGGGAGGGGGCAGATCAGCGTTGATGAGGAGAAGGGGTGTTGAGGGAGGGGAGAGGCACCCACCCCAGGTGTCAGTGAAGGAGGACTCGAAGTTCCCACCTATAGGTGTGGAAACGGAAGCCTGAGCAAGAAGGTGAAGTGCCTAGATTCCCGTAGCGTCAGGGGCACAGCCAGCCAGCGGGGCAGGAGCTTCTGCCAGGCTCACTGCTCGATCCACTCTGTGGGGACAGTGCTGACCACAGGGAGCCCCGAGGGCCAGTGGGGTATCTGTGGGCAGAGGCAGGGGGACTCTGGGCTATTTACAACTTGGGAAAGGCTGAAGGGAGGGAGGAAGACAGAGGCTGGAGGGCTGGCTAGGGATGAGTTAGCCTTAGGGAGGCGGCGGTGCTGGGAGGAGAGGCTTCAAATCAGGTATTGCAGGACTCCAGGGCACCGCCCCGCCCACCTGTTCCTAGAGGTATGGGGTTTGCAGAGCTCCGTGCGCAGGTGTCCCTCTGCTGGCCATACCTGGTACTGCCGCTCTCAGGGCCCTCATGGCAGCATTGCTCAGGCCTTGCAGAGGCTGTTGGGGCGGGGCTGCCCTCTGCTGCATGCCACCCTGGCCACAAACACCGAGGACTGGTGCTGCTGGGACATGCTGGGCCAGCCCAGCGCTCCCATCTCCGCTTATTTAAGTCAGCGTTCAAGTCCCCTCACCCCTGCCTGACCAGCTTGGACTGGGTCTGGGGTGGGGGTTGCCTCGGGCGGGCACCGATGGGTTGCACCTGTACCAGGTCTGACACGCGCCTCTCGGGCTGCCTGATCAGACTGGAGGGAGCACTGGCTTTGGAGTCAGGCAGCACTGGCTGACGGTGTGAACTCGTACCTCCGTTCTCTCTGTTGTAAATGGGGAATAAAGAGTCCTGCCTTCCAGAGCCGTAGTGAAAATTCGGCGAGCTGTAAAGATGTTAGTGCCAAGTTTGGCTCTTACTAAGGGCTATTTCCTTCCTTCCTTTACCTGTGTGTCTGTCCATGGTTGCAGGAGAGCGCCTTGGGACATGTAGGGAGGGGCTCCAAGCCAGGGAGTCTGTGCCCACCATGGTTGGCCTTTGGGGAGGGGTCTGGGTGGGGCAGGCTGTAGACCGCTCTGACGATGGGGGTGAGTGGGGGACACTGACCGGCGGGAGGTCCCCTTGTGTTGGCAGGAGGCGGACCTGAGACGGACGGTGGAGGAGAGCAGCCGCATCCAGAGGGGCTACGGGCACTACTTTGACCTCAGCCTGGTCAACTGCAACCTGGAGAGGACCTTCCGCGAGCTCCAGGCCGCCATGGAGAAGCTGCGGACGGAGCCCCAGTGGGTGCCTGTCAGCTGGGTGTACTGAGCCTGCTCGACTGGACCTTGTCTCCTCTGGGTTGTGACCCAGAGACCTGAATCCATCCCTTTCCCAACCATGACCCTCAACCACGGCCCTGAGCTCCAGTCCCTGGGGCTCTGGCTCCCTGGGAAGCAGCTCCTCGCAGGCCCCAAGTCTGGCTTCGGCGCAGAGGCATGCACTGCCAGGGAGGTGGGTGTTCGTGGGGTACCTCTGTGCCCAGGTGCTGCCCCCTCCTGATGCCCATTGGCCACCAGATGTTCCTCTCTGAGGGCCACGCTGTGCCCAGGAGTGTGTCAGAGTCACCGCCCAAAGGCTCAGACCAGAGAAGAGAAGATGCTTTGGGACCACGTGGTCAGTAGGTACACTGCCCCTGCCACCTCTCTCCAGTCACCTTCTCTCCTCTGGACTGGCCACCCCACCCTATTCCCGAGCTCCCCCCACCTCTCACCCCTCTGTCCTAGGAGCAGGCCTTAGGCTTTTTCTATGTGGCCAGGGGAGTGCAAGGCCCCCTGGCAGCCAGGCAGGCCTGGCAGTGAGGCCAACCTGGTGCCATCCGGAAGGCTGCCGGAGCCAAAGCATGAGCCAGTTGTCACAGCCGGGAGCAGTGCAGCTCTCTGCTCCCGGGAACGAGGCAGAGTCCCGCGAATGGACCCTGCCCGGTATTTCCCTCATCCACAGCTTTTCACTGCCGAAGTCTCTCCAGGGACTTCTCCAATGTGCCCGCAGGTCAGCTCTGCGCCCTGCAGGGCCAGGCCGGCAGGGGGCAGCAGGCACCGCCCAGGCCAGGGGGGTTGGAGGCTGAGCCCTGTCCCCAGGAGCCTGCTACTACTGACCGAAGAGCTCCAAGCTCTCCGTGGCCCATGGGGAGGACACGCCTGGGCTCCCTGTTCACGACCATTGTCCATGCGGTCTTTACTCTGGCCAGGTCCACGTGGTCCACTAGTGTCAGGACTGATGGGGGTGGGGGGGGGCTCAGGAAGGATGCGAAGGGAAGCTGTGAGCACTGTGCTCTGATAGGCTCCTCATTGCCCAGCGCCAGGGGGTGCCATCCATACTGTTTCTGTGCAGTTTACGTCCACATGCGACCCACCTGGTCTGAGTTCTGCCACTGGCTTGTGTGTGTCAGGCTTGGTTTTTGGAGAAGAGACACTTTGGAGGTCACTCTTTGGGTCCCCTTTTCAGGGTTTCCCAGCAGCTCCCCTGTCTTAGGAGACACTTATCCCAGATTCTAGAACCTTGACCTGCCCAGATGTCTTCCTCCAGCTCTTATTGTCCCCTGACCCTAAATGCCACTCTCCTGTCCTTGGTGAGGGCAATTGTGTAAAACAGGAGACTCCCTTTTTTTTTTTTTTTTAGAGAAAGGAAGGGAGAGAGAGAGAGAGAGAGAAAGAGAGAGAAACATCGATTGGTCGTCTTCCCATGTGTCCCAACTGGTGAGTGAACCTGGAACCTGGGTGTGTGCCCTGACCGGGAATCGAACCCACAACCTTTTGGTGTACGGGTCGATGCTGCAGCCACCTGAGTCATACTAGCCAGGGTGAGAATCCCTTTTGAGAAAAGAATGCTGTCCTCAACTTCCCCAGGCATCTCATCCCTCATCCTTCTCTGTGACCCTTCCTGGGGTGAGCCTGTCCTTGCTCGGGGACCCCCAGCCACTATACCCCCCAGTCCTTCTGAATGTCAGTCAGTGTTTGCTGCAGCGTCAGCCCAAGCTGGCCCCTGAACCACTGTGTGCCCATTTCCTAGGGAAGGGGAGGGAGAAGAAACAGAATATTTATTACAAAGTTAGAAATATATTTATTATATTAGGGATCTCATTGCATTTGCATAAGATATGCAAATGAGATGTCAGGGTCAAGCCTGCTCCCGTCTCATTTGCATAGCTCTGCATCCACTATGCAGTCATCTTTATACTCCCCTTTTCCCTTTAGTCAGCCTTCTTTTTATCCTTATTCAACTCTTACATCACCCTCACCCTCAGCCCAAGGGGACTGGGAGTGGGAGGAAAATGGGGTGTCCTTTGCCAGGTCCCACCTCACCTGGTTAACCTCTGACCAAAAGATGGGGTCGGGGGGAGCTGGGCACATTGCTGGGGAGTTGGCAGGTGGCCCTTTAGGGTGAATCTCCAGTGTTGATGCTCTCTGGCACCTTCACCTCTAGTGATCCCCCGGGGGCAGGGCTGGGCCCCTCTCCTGTCTCCATCCCTCTCTGAACAGCGTGCTACCTCCCCTGCATAAGCCCCACTCCATGGAACAGGTGTGCGCACCCACGAGTTAGCTCTGACTCTGCCCTCCCTCCTCCCACTGTGGACGCTTGTATTTGGGGGACCTCAGGATAATGAGGCCCCTGCCCCTCACAGTCTGAACCCATTTCCCCTTCCCCCTCCCCTCCCTCAGCCATCCAGTTCCTGAGCTTTCTGTCTGACTGGTTTTCTTTCTTTTCCGTTGATTAAATGTGAAAGCAAAGGCATCTGGGCTGTTTGTCTTTTTTAAATTTTTTTATTGATTTCAGAGAGGGAGCGAGAGATAGAAACATCAATGATGAGAGAGAATCATGGATCGGCTGCCTACTCCACACTGGGGATCGAGCCTGCAACCCAGGCATGTGCCCTTGGCCAGGATAGAACCTGAGACCCTTCAGTCCACAGGCTGATACTCTACCCACTGAGCCAAACCGGCTAGGGCAGCGGTTCTCAACCTGTGGGTCGTGACCCCTTTGGAGGTCGAACGACCCTTTCACAGGAGTCGCCTAAGACCATCGGAAAACACATCTATAATTACATATTGTTTTTGTGATTAATCACTATGCTCTAATTATGTTCAATTTGTAACAATGAAATCGGGGGTCACCACAACATGAGGAACTGTATTAAAGGGTCGCGGCGTTAGGAAGGTTGAGAACCACTGAGCTAGGGCATGGGCTGTTTGTGCTGTTTGTCTTCGGTTGGGGTCGGGGATGGCTTCTGGAGAGGGCAAAAGCAGGGAACACGGCGCAGATGGTTCTGGTATGGATTCTGAGTGACATGTCTTGTGTTCTGTGAGGTCGTCTGAAATTTCCAGTCCCGCCATTCCACACTGCACCTCCCCCAAGATGCTCTTTCTAAATGATTGTATCCAGTAGCCTGGGAGCGTTCTCAGGGCCAGGGGACTGGGACTCCATGGCTGATCCACTCAACATCACCTAGAACTGGCTCTGTGGTCTTCAGCAGGTCCCTCTACTTCTCTGGGCCTCAGCAAGCTTTTTTTGGGGGGTGGGGGGTATAGATTGGTAAACCCATGTGGTCCCATCAAGATGGGCAGATCTGCTGCTTTTGCACCAGGCTTATGGGCCCTGCTCAGGTCACTGTGGCACCCCTCCCAGCGGCCAGTGCTGGGTGCCTGTCATATTTTCAAAGTTTTGTAGGTGAAGAGCACCTCACTTTTACTTCACAGGTGCCCCCAAAGCACATCTGAGGGTGTAAGGAGGGTACAATGAGGAAGTTCATGAGGAGGCCCCTAGAGGGTCCTTCCAGCTGCATCACCCCCTGGTCCTTCAGAACATCCTGGGCTTGGTCCTGACCAGCAGTCCCGGCTGTTAGATAGACATGCGCAGAGCAGGGACGAGGTACAGAAACTCAGGGCAGAAAGCTCTGGAGGCCTGGCAAGGGGCAAAACCGGAAAAACAAAAACCTTGTCCCCAGGGTATCCTATCCTCCCCAGCATATCGCTGTCTTATGGTTTAGACCCCCTGACCTTTTTCTCCAAAAAGATAATGTCTAGGCCTCAGTTATATTTCAGCTCCAGGCCCAGAAAAGCAGCAAAACTAGACAAGTGACACCTTGGCTGCTCAGAACCAGCTGCATTGGCTAATGATCCCTGCCCTGACACCGACCAATCCGTGGAGACCATGACCCTGAAGGAGCACAGCTGGCAAGCTGATGAATATTCTTTGGAGACCCTCCCCTGAGACCTGCCCTAAGATGGTTTCCAGCAGAGAGAGAGAGAGAGAGAGAGAGAGAGAGAGAGAGAGAGAGAGAGAGAGACACGCTCAGGACAAAGGACCCAAGATGCATACCCGTGCCATTCCCTTCCCCCTCGCCTTCCCCAACAGGGACATATCTCCTAACCTCTAAGGCAGTGGTCACCAACCTTTCGGACCTCACGGACCACCAGGGGTCTGCGGACCACCGGTTGGCGACCCCTGCTGTAAGGGACCCCATGACACAACCAGGAGAGCAATGGGCAGCGGCAGCTCCTCCCGGGCTCACCCCCTGAGCCTGTCTCCAAGGCCCCCTTTTCCCTGACTTCTCAGTGAGCCAGCGCAGCCCCGCTGAGGCTCTCCTGTGGCTTCTTCTATGCCCTTCCTGGTTTCACTGTCCTATGTGTATTTTCTCTGCCATCATGGACCCAGACCCTTTGGCTCAGTGCTGTGGAGCCCTTCTCTTTGGATATCTCCATCACGCCCCCGCCATCCTCTTTTCCTTAAATAAATTCATTTTTTCTTTATCCTCCATCTGAGAGGGCTTATTTAGCCTGCCCGGGCCTCACCAACTTTAACCTTTCACTGGCAATCATCAGCAGTTTTAGCTGATTACGGCTTGGTCTTTTTGTGAAACTTTTAGCAAATGACAAGATACACATTACACAAACCTTATAAATTCCAGGGCTAGATCAAGGCAAAGTTATAAACGACATAAAAGATTACTCTAGGCTAGACTGCCTGCTAGGCTCCATGTGCAGGCTAGGTTAGGGGCAGCTCCTCCGGCCACACCCACAGGGACGGGGTAGAGGCTTTGAGAAATGCTGATGGTGAGGCCCTGGTGGGAGTGAACTTGGTTCTGCCATTTCAGGAAGCTGTGTTAAACAACCACAAAGAAAACCTTGAGCAGCTCTACGGTGCACTGCTCACAGGGGCAGAGCCACACACCTCTTAGATCGTGTCCTGCAGGAACCTGGTGTGCGTGGTGAGGTGCGTGGTGAGGCGCCTGCGGCAGCCGCTCACGTTTTTGGTCACTGTGGCCCTTGTGGAGACCCACGGCCATGGGGGAGCCCAGAGCCACTGCAGAGGCCCTGGGGTCAATGCCGGTGGATCCCCCCCGGCCCAACTAACCTGCTGAACGCCTTTTTGAAAAGAAAGGGGGTATTGGGCCATATTGTAGCCAGAGAAGGGCCAGGTCCTGAGCTTGAGGTCTGAACCGCCAACAGCATGATTCGGGCGGGAAGGCAACGTGTCCCCCATCCTGGAGTCCACGAGCGTTTTTCTATATTTTGTTTTTGGGAAGAAAGATGCAGTTTGTTTGGACAGAATTTACATTGGCTACAGAAGGCGGCTGAGATAAGGTGAAGCAGGGACAGTTCTGTGATAGGAGCACCTTCTGGGGAAGGAAGAAATATTCACTTCTTTTGATTGGTTTCGGGCAACAGTCCAAAACATTCGTTCATATGCAGGATGCGGTGATGTCTGGGGTCAGCTGGTCGATGCCCGGAGGTTGACTCAAAGCTCCAAAAACATTCAGGAATGTCAGCAGTCTTTTGGCAGTTGGCCCACAGCTATTAATTGGTTAATTAATTCACCACTACTAGTATAATAATTCACTGGTTAATTATTCCTGTCTCTTTTGCTCACTCTCCTGCCTGCTGTAATTTAATTTGGAACATCTCAGCATTGTTCTTTTCTCAGCTGTTTAGCGATAGGTATTAGCAACTTCAAAAATATTTATGCCCTATGACCCGGCATTTTCACAGACGCAAATCCTTCTTAAGGAAATCTCCAAGCGCAGATAAAGCCTTGCGCAAAGCACAAGTGGAAAATGGTTATCTAGTGGAAGAGAACAATGAAATTAAAGCACCCTGACATGGCGAAATATGACACAGCTGATAAACACTTTATTTATAAAAGGTCTGTAAAAACATGGAGAAATGCTTATCTGCAATAATAGTTAAGTGGGAAAAGCAGGATATGAAGTTGTATGTGCAAAATGATCTGTAAAAGAAACCAGCAAATGATGCGGAGAAAAAAGACTGAAAGGAAACACAACGAAATGCAGTGATGAGGGTCTCTGGGTAGCGGTGAGAAGAGGAATGACTTATTTTCTTCTTTTTCCCTCCAAGTTTTGTATACGGGGGCAAGCCTTCCCCTCTCCACCCCCTACCCCCGCCCCAATTTCAGTGTAAAAAAAAAAAAGAAGAAAGAAAAGTAATAGTAGCCCAGGGGCCAGACCCAGGGTCACCTTGAGGTTCCCCATAGGTTCCTGCCCTAAACCCTTCCTCTCCCATTTTAGAGACCCACCCGCACCAGCGGCTTCCTGCCCCTCACCCCAGCCCCTCACCAGCACCCACAGGCAATTAACTCTTTCTCGACAAGGAAGGAGCCAAGCTTGTCTCCATCCTTCCTCCAAAGCCTGGAATGAATGCCTGGCTGCGTGGGGAGAACAGAGAGGCGACTCCCTGCCTCCCAGTGTGTACCTGCCCTGGGCTGACCTCAGGCAGGAAAGCCTCCCGCTGGGTCATGGTTCCTGGGCAGAGCATCCCTATGGAGCGGGTGGAAGACCCCACATCCCAAACGTAAGTACTGAGCGTTCAGGGTGCCCAGGGTTCTCCACCTGAGATCACCAGGTACTTGTTAGAAATCCCGAGTCCTGGGCCCAGCCCCAGGGCCGGCGTGGAAGGATGGGATGGAGCCCAGGAATCACCTTTTTAAGCAGCTTCCTGAGGCCTGGGATGCCATGGTTCACAGCTGCACGTGGAGAAATCAGAACTGGTCTAACCCCGCAACAGGCCCCCTCCTCCTTCCAGCTTATGCAGGAGCGAGTGGTGCTGAGTCTGAGGATGGAGGGAAGGGAGGAGCCGGTGGGGTCTGGAGGGGGCGGAGGGAAGCCTGCTGCTGGGTCCAGGCCCAGGGGATTGCCTGCTCCAGGTACACGCAGACCAGGTCTCCTGAGCCCTGCCTGGCCCTGCTGGGGAGGTCCTGTCCCCGCTGGAACTGCGGGGCCCCTCGGCAGGCTGGCACAGGCGTCCAGCCCGGCTGGGGCAGCAGGAGAGCCCGGGAGCCTGCAGAGGCCCGGCGCCTGGCGGGGGAACTCTGAGGCCATGGCCCAAAGCTTATTGCAATTCGCGTAAATCCAGCCACTCCAGGTCACGGTTGCGGCAGGCCTGGCCCGGAGGGCGTCCAGTGGCTAGACTGGGATGAACACGGAGGATCTGAGCTCCTCCTCTGACATGTGAAGGGGAGGCCCTGGCTTCGCCGCACCCGCCGGGTCCTGGAAGGAGGCCTCCTCTTCCTTCAAAGCCTGCAAAGACAGCGGTGGGGTTGTAAGCAGAGCACAGTGGGGGGTGGGGTGGGGGGATGGATCTGCGCCGCTTCTGGTCCACCCCAGAGCCTCTCCCACAGCTCCAGGCCTCTGTCCATCCGCGGGGGCACAGGAACTAGCAACTTCTCCCCAGAATCTCCAGGCTTTGACTCACCACCTTCCCCCCACCCCCCAGCCCTCCCTCGACCCCCTAAGGGAGCCCAGGCCAGGCTATGGCTTTAGATGCTGGAACCCTGCCAGCCCCCAGCTCTTTAAGCCAGTGGTCATCAACCGGTGGTCTGTGAGGTCCGAAAGGTTGGCGGCTGCTGGTTTAAGCTGTGATTCCCAACAAGCGAGTCAAGAATGTTCCGGATGGGGGACTCGGGACCAAGATGGCGGCGTAGGTAAACACCGGAGACGGCTGCTGCAAACAACCATTTCAAAAATACAACTAAAAGACGGAACGGACATCACCCAGAACCACAGGAAGGCTGGCTGAAGAGAGACTCTACAACTAGAAGGAAAGAGAACAGCAAACCGAGGCTCAGAGGAGGCGCAGTGTGGAAAATACAAAGGTACCGAGGTGCGCGCGAAAGCGGGCTGGTGGCTGAGGGTGCGGTTGTCGTTTTCGGTCGGGAGTGAGTCTCAGACTCTGGGCTCCAGATCCGGGCGAGTCTCTAGGGACTCAGACTCAAACGGGAGAAGCGGGATTATCCGGCATCAGTTGGAACATGAGGGCAGCTTTCTCTCCGAGGTTTGCAGCGGCTGCCGGGGTTCTGAGAAGCAGAGCCTCTGGGAACCGGACTGAGAGCGGCCATAACTGCTCCCTCCGCCCGCCCTGTTGATCCCGCCCCACCCAAACCCTGCGCACAGCCATTTGCCAATCGCCTCAGGCAAAGGCTAGATTAGCACCTCCCAGAGGACAGAAGTTTTCCACACAGCTGAGTCTCGCAGCCAGTCAGCCTGGTGGTCAAATCCCTCTAGTATTAACTACAACAATCTGGGCTTAACTAGAACAAGACTGCGCACAAAGACCACAAGGGGGTGCACCAAGAAGGCATAAAAAATGCGAAGACAAAAAAACATGACAGAAATGGAGGATATGGAGCTAAAAATCGCAATTTTGAGGGTTTGCAAAAAACTCGAGGAGAGCCTCACGAAAACTAATGAGACCCTCGATGCTACGATAAAGAAACTAGAAATTAAGCATACACGGACTGAAATAAAGAATATTATACCCAATAGCAGACCAGAGGAGCGCAAGAATCAAGTCAAAGATTTGAAATACGAAGAAGCAAAAAACACCCAACCAGAAAAGCAAAATGAAAAAAGAATCCGAAAATACGAAGATAGTGTAAGGAGCCTCTGGGACAGCTTCAAGCGCACTAATATCAGAATAATAGGGGTGCCAGAAGATGAGAGACAGCAAGATATTGAAAACCTATTTGAAGAAATAATGGCAGAAAACTTCCCCCACCTGGTGAAAGAAATGGACTTACAGGTCCAAGAAGCGAAGAGAACCCCAAACAAAAGGAATCCAAAGAGGACCACACCAAGACACATCATCATTAAAATGCCAAGAGCAAAAGACAAAGAGAGAATCTTAAAAGCAGCAAGAGAAAGAGACTCAATTACCTACAAGGGAATACCCATACGACTGTCAGCTGATTTCTCAACAGAAACTTTGCAGGCCAGAAGGGAATGGCAAGAAATATTCAAAGTACTGAATACCAAGAACCTACAACCAAGATTACTTTATCCAGCAAAGCTATCATTCAGAATTGAAGGTCAGATAAAGAGCTTCACAGATAAGGAAAAGCTAAAGGACTTCATCACCACTAAACCAGTATTATACGAAATGCTGAAAGGTTTCCTTTAAGAAGAGGAAGAAGAAAAAGGTAAAGATACAAATTGTGAACAACAAACATGCATCTATCAACAAGTGAATCTAAGAATCAAGTGAATAAATAATCTGATGTACAGAATGAACTGGTGATTACAATGAATCAGGGACATAGAAGGGGAATGGACTGACTATTCTTGGGGGGGGAAAAGGGGAATGGGAGATTCGGGAAGAGAATGGACAAAAATCGTGCACCTATGGATGAGGACAGTGGGTGGGGAGTGAGGGCGGAGGGTGGGGCGGGAACTGGGAGCAGGGGAGTTATGGGAAAAAAAGAGGGACAAATGTAATCAGAACAATAAAGATTTAATTAAAAAAAAAAAAAAAAGAATGTTCCGGATGGAAAAAGGAAATAAGGCCAAGAACTCTGGCTCCGAGTGGAGCGGCCGAGGCCTGTGGTTATGAGGGGGTAGGTGGGTGCATGGGGGGGACGGAGTTTGAGGGCCGTGTCCACACCTGGCTTGGGCGCCGGATCTCCGGGATCTCCGTGTAGGGGCTGGCGGAGGGCTTGGGGCCGGCTCGAGGCCCAGGGGGTGCTGCGAGGTTGACCACAGCGTACTCCGGGCCCAGGCGGTTCTGAAACAGAGACTTGGTCAGAACAGCCCGTTCTTGGCAGCAGGGCTGGTCTGTGGAGGGAAATGCGGGAGGGGTGGGCAAGGGGAGCACATGGGCTGTGAAGTCACAGTCCCTGCGTCCCATTTCCTCTGTCGCAGTGGGACCTTGGGCAAGACACCTAACCTTCCCAAGACTCAGTTTCCCAAGCTGTAAAATGGGGATAAGAATTTTTCCCTCAGGGTCGTAATGACTCTTCACTCAGCAACAGGGGACTCCTGCCACGATGAATTTGTTTTCATGATGGTTATTTCTAGCTTTGGCTGCAGGTCCTTTGTAATAGGCTCAGAGAGAGCAGAATCGGACATCTCAAAGATTCACCCAATAACGAACCGCATGAGAAGAATTCTCCAGAGATCGTAAGTCTGAGCAACCCCTCCTGGATCAGATGAGGAAGCTGAGGCCCGGGGAAGAGAGGTGGGAGGTCCAGCGGAGACGGGACTCCCCAACACGTCCACATGGAGAGATGGGCGAGCTCCATAACCTCGCTAAGCCCCGGTCTTCCCCTCTGACAGGGTTGGAGTTGGGAAAGTGTGAGATGAGACCATCCAGAAAGCCGGAGCTCCTCTCTTTGGCTTCAGGGCCCATCAGGCCATGAGACTCCTGGCCAGGCACCTCAGGACAGCTGTGCCCCTGAGAGACTTGGCCAGGGGCCTCGGCCAGCTCCAGCCTGTGCTCTGCCCAGCGGCTAGGACCCGGGAGCAGGAAGTGGAGGGGCCTGGCATCCCAACCTGAGGACCCAAGGATATTTTTTCCATCGATTCTCAGAGAGAGAGAGTGGAACAGAGGGGGAGAGACAGAGAAAGAGAGAAACATCAATGTGAGAGACACGTTGACTGCAAAACTGAGACCTTCAGTCCTCCGGCTGGTGCTCTGAGCACTGAGGAAAACCGCCAGGGCAAACCTCCAACCCGTCAACCCCACCTCCAGACTCTGCTCAAAAGGACAGAAGCCAGAGAAAAGCAGAAGTTTTCGGCTGGTCCCATTCACAGGATCTGGCCTCCGACCCTCTTGGGAGACCTGTTCCATCCTCCTAACAAAGCCCCCCACCCCAGCTCCTCTGCTCATGGCCCAGTGCCCCTCCCACAGGTGCAGGGGCAGGAGGCAGAGCGGGGCGGCCCCTCCCAGTGTGGGCTGGACAGCAGCAGAGCAGGGACCGGCCTGGGGCAGGCTCTCCCCACAGCAGCGGGGGGTTCTCTCTCCTCCCCAGCTCCTCTCAGGCATTGGGTGGGAGTGAGCCCCAGGAGGATTAGCCTGGAGGCCGGCTCCGAAAGTGGCCAGTGGCAGCCCCTGTCCATCTCCTTGACCTTTCCCTCACTCCTGTCCACCACCTTTAGCCTTGTAGAGTTTCCTGAGACAACAACAGCTGCTTCCTAAGCCACGCGCTTAGTACCCCATTCCCGCCCCCGCCCCAGCCCCTCCCGAGAGGGATCAGGCCTGAGCTTTTGTCTTTGCTGGCGCCAGGAAAGAAGGCGGAGCAGCCCCTTTCCTGCCCCCAAGTTTAGGGAATCAGAGTGGAGGCATCTCTGTAAACAGCCGAGGGAGGAGGGGGTGGGTGAGGCAGGTGGGGCTTCGGTTTCCTGAACCCGTGATTCCCAGCCCTCTCCTTCCGTGGAAAGGGACGTTCTCTTTGCAGGGGTCAGGGAAGGGCCAGGGCAGGTTCCCCTCTCCAGGAAGATGGGCAAGTTACCCCCATTCCTTCTTCCCCTTGGCTCCCAGAGCACCACCTTCAGGCTGTGTCTCAGAGCCAAGAAAATGCTCAGAGAAAACAGTAGTGTGTTCTGAAAAGAGGAGAGATGGGAGATGAGAAATCTGGGTCCGGTTCTCTGTTTGGGCCACCACTTGCTGTGTGACCTTGGGCAAGACGTTGACCCTCTCTGGGCCTCAGTTTCCTCTTCTGCAAACGCAGACTGGAGCCTGTAGTTGTCATACTCTGGTGTGCCGTCAGAATCCACAGCCACCCCCCCGCCCGCCCCCCTAGAGGTTGCAGGTGGGAGAGGATATTTTTTCTGACACCATCTGCCCACCAACCCCAGGAGTTCTGGAAGGGGGTGTGCACCCAACTTAGAGGAAGGCTGGACTAGATGATCTCAAAGGCCCGCTCTGGATCCAGCTCCGATCTTCTCTGATTAGAAAAGGGGGAGGAGAGGAGGGTGCTGGGCTTGGGGAAGAGCCCTGCCTGGCCCCGGGTGAGCAAGAGGGCTGTCAGCTCACAGCCTGAAGGGCTCGTCTTGGGGCTCAGAGATTCCCTGGAGGTGGGAAGCCATCCCTGCCTCGAGGTCAGCCATGGAGGACCAGGTAGATGCGGAGTGGGAGCCCTGCAGAGTCTGAGGGTCCGAGCTTGGCCTCTGTCTGCTTCCTGACTTACCAAGTGTGAGAGGTGGACCTTCTCATTCTGTGTCTTCGGGTCCAGTTGAACTGAAAGAGATCAGAAGGAGCACCTTGAGGCCAGGAGTAGCCAGGAGTAGCCTGCAGCTGCTCCCACAGAGGTGGACTGGCCTCCCTGCATCTTCGGGCAGGGGCTTCCTAGAGGGAGTTGGCAGGCAGGTTGGGCAGAATTGCCCCTTCTAGCTCAGGCCCTTGGCAATGAGTGGGCCTTTGGAGATCAGTACATTGAAGTCTCCTCATGTGGGCCAGAGCCAGGCTGGGGAAGTAAAATTCTGGGTGCTAAAGCCATTGCTTCTTTTTTGAATCCTCACCCAAAGAGTGAGAATACTTTCCCCATTGATATTTAGAGAGAGTGGGAAGGATGGGGGAGGGGAAGAGAGACACATCAATGTGTTAGAGACCATCGATTGGTTGCCTCCTGCCCACACCACAACCGGGGGTGGGGATTGAACTTGCAACCATGGTATGTGCCCTTGACCAGGAATCGAATCAGAGACCCTTCGGTTCATGGGCTGACACTCTAACCACTGAGCAAACCAGCCAGGGCTAAAATCATTGCTTCTTAAACCTCAGTGTGCCTACAGGGCCCCAGGAAATGTTATCAAATGCAGATTCTAATTCAATAGACTGGCCCTGGGGCCTAAGAGTCGGCATTGCTACCAGGCGACCAGGAGAGGTCACGGCTGCTAGCTGGGGACCACAATCGGAGAGGCAAAATGCTAAGAGGTTCTGAGGTTGTGGCCAGGAATGCTCCCACCTGTATGTTCCTCCTGACTCCTCTGTGGGGATTTGGGGACAAGGGCAGAGCTAACATTTCTTCCTGGGGCCGCACAGGGAGGAGCTGGGAGGCAAGCCCAGGATGTCCCCTTGGCCCGTGGCCATCTGCACAGGGACAACACTGCCAGTTTGCAAAGTGCGTTCCCAAACATCTTTCTGTCTCCACTACTTCCTAGCTGTGCAAGCACAGGGCCTCAGTCTCTTTCCCTGTATAATGGGAGTACTTGCAATAAGTAGTTCCTAACTCCACAGTATTGGGGAGATGAAAGGAGATAAAAGCAGCATAAGCTACACAACAATGCCTGGCACCTGGTAGTTTCTATTACTGTTATTTCAGTTATTATCTGTGCTGTCCAACCCGGGAGCCACGGGCCACACATGGCCACTGAGCGCTGGAAGTGTGACTCCGAGTTACACCGGGCTTCAAAGACTCAATATGAAAAAATGAATGTAGAACATGTATCATTAACATTTTTATCTTGTTTCCATGCTGAAATGATCCTATTTTGGTTATGGCGTGTTAAATAAAGTGTATGATTAAAATTAACTTCACTAGATTATTGTTTTCATGTGACTATTAGAAGAATTGCAAATCAGATATGTGGCTTGTATAATATTTCTTCTGGACATATATCTGTGATCTGAAGAAGCCGAGGCTCAGTTAAATGAGTCCCCCCCAGGTCTCACAGCTAAAAAGATGGGCCCTGATCGGTTTGGCTCAGTGGATAGAGTGGGTCCCAGGTTCGATTCCGGTCAAGGGCATGTACCTTTGTTGCGGGCACATCCCCAGTAGGGGGTGTGCAAGAGGCAGCTGATTGATGTTTTTCTCTCATCGATGTTTCTAACTCTCTCTCTCCCTTCCTCTCTGTAAAAAATCAATAAAATATACTTTAAAAAGAAAAAGATGGAAGACCTGGGATTTGAAGCCACGCCTCCACAGAAGCTGAGCACCTCCAGAGACCCAGCGGCCACAATGTATGTCACGCTCAAGTTCAAGTGCCGGGTCCAGCCTTCCCCCCTAGAGTCAGTCCTCACACAGGAGCCGGACTGGCAGAGACTGAACATGGATTCTCGGGGAAGACATGTTTGGCACCAGGGACCAAACATCTAGTCAGTCCCAAAGGACCCCAATCCCACTGCCAGCCCCAGGAGACACATTCAGCCGGGTCTGCACTTGCCAGCGGTTACCCGGATGTCAGTAACTGTGTGCAATTACGTACGAACCCCCAAGAACAATAGGGAGGGAAGCGACTGATGACCTCGGATGCACGTGAGCAAGCCGAGAGCCCCGCTCTCACTCTCACTCCCCCGATAGAATTACCTGTTTCCTAATGCCGGTGGCCCTGTGGCTCCCTCAGAAGGCACTCGTGATGCCATATCTCTGACAGACACACTGCGCCACAGGGCTTCCCTGGGGTGATGGTGGGAAGGGCTGGTCTCAGTGAGGTCCCCGCTGAAAGCCTCCCACCCACTCCCGTCTACCTGTGCTCACCTTCCTTCCTGCACCGGAGCACGCACCTGCCGACGACAGCCAGGCCTGCGGCCAGCAGGAGGACCAGCAGCACTAGGACCGGCACCAGGATGTGGGCCTTTGAGTGGGACGCCCTGCAGAAGGCGCCCAGGGGCTGTCACCAGCCAGCAGCAGCACGCGGTGCACCCCGACATTCCTATTCTGAGTCCCAGCCATGTCCCTTGTCTTTCCCAAGGAGAGCAGAGGGCACCAGGGACCAAACACTAGTCAGTCCCAAAGGACCCCAATCTCCACGGTCCCCCCAGGCGACACTTCAGCTGGGTCTGCAGTTACCCGATGTCAGTAACTGCGTGCAGCTATGCATGAACCCCCAAGAACAGTCCTGCAGGCGTGGACTCCCGTTGGGTGGGGAAAATGTTTTTGTTCCCTATTTTCATGCTTGGCACAGGGCCCAGTGCAAAGCGTACAGGCAAAAGCTACTGCACTGGGGTGGCTTCCCTGAGGCTGGGGCAGGGAGAGGGGTGGGCCCTTCACCTGGGGTGGGACTGCGTGTCCAGGGCAACAGGGCTGCTGGCCCCTGTAGGGCAGGTGGCTCACTGCTCAAGGGCCCTGCTGAGGCGGGAGTGAGGGCTGAGTCTGCCCTCACTGCCTCCAGCTGTGGCCGTGGCCAGAGGCTGTCTTCACCTGGAGGAAGGAATGTTAGGTTCTCGTTTGCTCACGGGCTCCTTCCGGTTTGGGGATGGCCTGCAAGGTGACCTTGGTCCCCTGGAGCTCACCTGGACGTGGGGTCTTCCGTAGAGGTGGAGTCCAGGTACGTGGAAGGCCGAGAGGTCCCTGCGTGAGGAGAGGTGGCTCTGTGAAGGGGGCGCTCTTCGTTCGGAGTGTTCCCTGCGTACGGAGAGGTTCCTGTGTATAGAGAGGTTCCTGCGGGCTCGGGCGGGGACGTCCCTGTGAATGGAGAGGCCTCGGCCTCTGTCTTCCCCTGCTTGGTGACTGTCGGGTGGGCACCAGGAGAGGCTACAAGTCCAAAAGCAATGCCTCAGCACCTTCCCTGGCCCCTGCATCCCATCCCCAGACCGCTGAGCCTTGACCCCTGACCCCTCCCGTCTCCTCCCCTCCCTGGGACCAGTTTCTCAGAACACCCCCAGGTAAAGGGCACCCCAGGAAGCAAACAGAGGCCTAGCTAAAGCCGTGTTAGCAAGCCCCACACCTGTGCGCAGTCTCCAGCCTTTTGTGCCCACGGCCTGTTCTCTGTGGGGAGGCGCACACTCCACCCCCACCTCCAAGACCCAGTCTAGTGACCCCTTGGTAGATGCCTTCCTGCCCTCCCCCTACAGTCCTGGCCAATTGTCACCTCTGCTCTCACCTGAAAGTCCTCCTGTCACCATCACTTGCCCACCCCCACCACCTAGATCTCAATAGTCCTTGATCTGCAGGGTGGTAGGGACAGGCCCAGAGGTCAGGCAAAAGGCCCGCCTCTCCTGCTCGCCCCTCAGACCCCCTAGAACACAGGGAAGCTCTGCCCGCAGGCTGTGTCTGCTTCCTGGCTCTGCTGCTTCCTGTGTGACCTTGAGCCAATGACCTAACCCTGCGGAGCTTCCCATTGCTCAGCTGACAATCACGCTCCCAGGATGTGGGGCCGCACAGCGCAGTGTCCGACACCAGGCCGGCACCCACTGGTTGTTTCTCTACAAAGGGGCCGAAGAGGGGCAGAAACCCATGCACTCACTCGATGCTGGGGGCTGGGTTTGCCAAGCTTTGGCCTTGGGCTGGAGGCTTGTAGCAAGAGGCTGGAAGGAGGGGGTGGGGGAGGGAGGACAGCAGGGACCTAGAGGAGAGGAAAGGCTGGTCTCAGGGAGGCAGGGATCACTGCTCTGAGCCAGATTTCCTGCCTTGGGAGCAGCCGGCAGCGTTCCCACCCCCTCCCCCCATCTCTGCTCAGCGCATCGCCACCTCTCCCCCTCAGCCACTCAGGGGCCATGGATGGCCGGATGGCCGATTCCAGCAGATTGCTGGCCTTCCGCTCCTGCAGGCCCTTGGCCTCCCACTTAGCGCAGACCTTGAACTTCCCTTGTCCCCCACTGCCCACCGGCCTTTTCCAGGCTGCCCTTCACACCGATGCCAGTTTTGTCTCTAAAATATCTATGGGACCCCATCACTTTCTACTTTAGAGCAGTCAGGGACTCCCCATGGCCCATAAGCTGAAATTCAAACGTTTTCTCATGCCTTTCAAGGCCCTTTAAACTCAGGCTTCAACCCACTGTGCCAACTTCACCTCTTCCCCATCCCGTGGGCCAACCATGCAGTTACCCTCCAGTCCCATCTAAGCTAGCCGCCTGCCTGCTTCCATGCCTTGGACTTGCTTTCCTGTGTGCCCTGCCTTTCCTTCCCATCTCTACCTAACTCACCAAGCACTGGCTCAAAAGTCAGCTCCTCCACAACACCTTCCCTGGGAGGAGCCAATCCTTTATTCTTCGTGTACCCACAGCACCCTGTGCATGGCGCCCGTGGAACTAATACTCCATTTGTGGCAATAACTCATTTATGGGGTCTCCCCACTAGCCTGGGACTCCCCACTAGGCTGGGACTTCCCCAGGGCAGAATGCCTAGCACAGTAAGCAGAAACCTACCGGGCCAAGCTCCCAGCAGCCACCGAGCTCCCCGCCTCCCCCCGTCCATCAGGCACCTCCTTTCTGACTTGTATGCCATCCTGGACTCTTCGTTTCCCACCATTTTCTATTGTAATCTAGGTCAGTTTTTCTCCAAATTTTCTGAGTAAATGATCAAATCTGCAGATAAAGAATATTTTTATTTTCTTTCCCACTATGTGTACTTCTTAATTGTGTTCTATTTCATTGCCTGGGGCCTCCAGGTAATGATGAATAGTAGTGATGGTGGTGGGCATCTTGCCTTGCGCTGACCTGCCTAGAAGTCCTTCTAACGCTCTGCCATACTCTATGGTGTGCAGACACGCACGCTGGCTCGTGAGAGCTAAAACGTAGCTTTTCGGGAATTTTGTGAGCTGGTTGTTAAACTGCTGGTGGCTGGAAATTGGCCATGGCAGGAGCATTTATACCACAGAAATGGGCAAACACTACAAGCGGAGTTTCCCCCGCCATTCATTATGTACCTTCACCAGCCCACCACTGCCATTAGCTTTCCTTGTTTTCAATACCCCAACCGTCGTCAGAGCGAGGGCAGCAGGGTCTGGTACAGGAGGGTTATACAATGAAAACAGTAGAGCTCAGATATAGGATTAGAATAAAGACCCACGGATGAGGGGGCTCTGGCAGTGGGGATGGACCGGGGTGGGATGGGTCCCAGCTCTGGGGCCAGGAGAGGGAAAGAGCAGATTCCGAAGCCAGAAATGACCTGCTTTTGACTCCTGGCTCCACCACTTCCTGCCAGGAGACCCCGGGCAAATTGTTTGATCTCTCGGAGGCTCCGTCCCCTTCTGTGACATGTGATACAAAGACCTACCTCCCCCTTACTGACCTGCAGCCTGGGCTGCCCGCTCCCCTGGGCCCTCTCTGGCTGCTTCTCCTCCTCGGCTCAGCAGGTCCAGGTGGGGTTCCGGGCACTCAGAGAGGTGCTCATCCCCAGCCAGAGCCCCATGGCGCCAGCCCCAGCCCCCTAATGTTTCTGAGCTCAACAAGCCCCTCTGAGGCTGGTTGCCAGGCGCTCCGCACACCTGTCCCTGGGGCTGCACCATCTGGGAAGAGGAGGCGAGAAGGAAGAGCCAAGGGAGCTACACGAGGTCAGCGGTTCTCAACCTGTGGGTCGAGACCCCTTTGGCGGTCGAACGACCCTTGCACAGGGGTCGCCTAAGACCCTCCTGCATATCAGAAATTTACATGACGATTCATAACAGCAGCAACATTACAGTTCTGAAGTAGCAACGAAAATAATTTTATGGTTGGGTCACAACATGAGGAACTGTATTAAAGGGCCAGAAGGTTGAGAACCACCGGCTTAGGCGATGTGTGGGGAGGGCCCCGGAGGCAGTGACGAGGGGCCCGGCCTGAGGAATCCTCTGGACTCTCTCTGACTCCAGGGAGGGAGGAAGGTGATCTTTTTTATTGCCCCAGCCGGGCAATCTCTCCCACATCTGGGCAGAGAGGAAGGGCAGAGCCTGGTGTTGGACAGACCTGGGTTCGATGCTGCTCTGCCACCTTCTAGTGGCGTGACCTTGGGCAGCAAGAGTGAGAGGACATCTGAGGCTCAGGCGGCAACCTCTGCGCCCCAAACGCTGATGCGCTTTTGACCTGTGTGGTTTCACCGAGTCCTTGAGACACACTCCCATGAGGCATTGCACCCTCTGTGCTGGGGGAACTGGGTCCACTACCGACCCACCCTCTCCTTGCCCTCGGCATCTCCCGTCCTCCTTCCAGGGAAGGAGAGACATTGCTTACCTGGCAGGACCAGCAGAGAGACCAGGAAAGTCTCGTCAATGCCCAGGATGTTGACGCCGCACCAGTAGTCCCCCGAGTCCTGCAGGGGTGAGCTCCCTCAGGGTCACGGTGAGCGTGAGCTTCTGGGGGTCGTCTTGGATGGACACCCTGCCCTCTGTCCTCTCCTCGCCATCTTCTCTCGCGTAGATGATGCCCGAGCAGCGGGAGACGAGGATCCCGCCCTTCTTGCACCAGTATTTCTTGTGCTCCCGCAGCTTCTCCTCGTAGGTGCACTGCAGGGACACAGTGTCGCCTTCGAATCCTCTGATCTTCTTCGGCCCCATCAGAGCTTCATAACCTGAAACCACAGCAGGGACAGAGGTCAGAATTCCCCGGATTCAAGCACCAGGGTCAAGACCAGAGGTTGTCCTCAATCACCTCTTTCTGGGGGCAGCCCTGTCGGAGCTGGTACTCCCCACCCACTAGGGGACCTTGGGACCGGGCTGTTGAAATATAGATATTTCTATGTAATTGTTTCCCTAAACCTGACACATTAAAGGATTATGGGTAGCGAAGCTCTAGCTTCAGACAGCCTGGAGTTTGCATCCCAGCACTGCCACTTCGTAGCTGTGTGGCCTTGGGGAAGTTGCTTGACCTCTCTGGGCCTCTGAGTTTTCTCATCGATAGGTAATGACAACATCTTTTTGTTGTTGTCGTTGAAAAGAATTACTTTTATTGATAGACATACTAACCCAAGGGCAAACATTTATCTACGAAATCCCCTGTTTGTAGAGGTCCGTGCAAAAGCAGCCTCCTGGCCTGTTACGATGAGCTGCTCCAGGTGGAGTCTGGAGAGGTGGGATCGCGGCCGAAACCCAGGGAATTCTGCGGCCTCTGGAGAGCCCCCCACAGCACAGGGCAGTGCCAAGTAAGGACTTGGTCATGGGAGTCCCTGACCTCCTGCTCAAATAGGAGAAGGTGGTCAAATAGGATAAGGCTCCTCTCCTCATACGGACTTTTGGAGTCTGCCTGGGTGTCTAACAAGTGGTCATGTTAATAACTGGAGACTCAGATTTAAAGGCGGGGCTAAAAATAATAATCAATGAGAAGGCAGGATACAAAAGCATACATCCTGAATTATCTGTTTGTTTGTTTTTTAAGAAAAAATGCTTTTAATACTCACACAGTCAGCCAATTAACATTGGTTAGCTCGGTCGGTGACATTTTCTTGTCCACAATGTGCACTATGTAATTTGTTCTTTTAAAATATTATTATTTTATTTTCTTTCCTTTTTTAAAAATATATTTTATTGATTTTTTTTTTTTTTACAGAGAGGAAGGGAGAGGGATAGAGAGTTAGAAACATTGATCAGCTGCCTCTTGCACACTCCCTACTGGGGATGTGCCTGCAACCCAGGTACATGCCCTTGACCGGAATCAAACCTGGGACCCTTCAGTCTGCAGGCCGACGCACTCTCCACTGAGCCGAACCGGTTATGGCTTATTGTATTTTTCCATTGCAGTTTACATTCCATATTATTTTTATTAGTTTCATGTGCACAGCATGGTGGTGGGACAGCCATATACTTTACAAAGTGCTCCCCCCGCTAGTTCCAGTCCCCACCTGGCCCCATGCACAGTTATCACGATATTATTGACTATATTCCCTGTGCTGTCCTTTACGTACCAGTGACTATTTTGTAGCTGCCAATCTGTACGTCTGAGTCCCTCCACCCTTTTCACCCAGTCCTCCCTCCCTCCTCCCTCTGGCAACCATCAGTCTGCTCTCTGCATCTATGAGTCTGTTTCAATTTTGTTTCTTTGTTTATTTTGTTCTTTAGATTCCACGTATAAGTGAAATCATATGGTGTTTGTCTTCCTCTGACTGACTGACTTCACTGAGCATAAGACCCTCCAGGCCCATCCATGCTGCCCCCAATGGTAAGACTTCATTCTCGTTTAACGTGAGATGTTATCACATGTGAGACACGCTACCATTTTACGTACTACTAAGAAAAACATTGTCATTCGAACAGCTGGCATCACTTACAAAATGATTTTTGATGTTAGAAGGTTAAAAATAAAGCAGGTCTGTGAGTTGATGAAACGTGAAAATTGCCTCTCAGGGTTGTTGTGAGTTTAGCAGCAGCTCAAGAAATGTTTGCTGAGTTTAAGGTGGCAACTGTACGGGGGATGTCTGATCTGCCTCCAGGCTTGGCTCCGGGTGGGAAAGTGATGAGAGAGGCAAAGCTTCTCACAGCCACACAGACGGACAAGCTGGAACCCCAAGTCGGGGACAACACCCGGCTCTGGGTTCCAGAACCAGCAAGTGCCGCCCTCTGAGGGCTGAGGAGACGGGGTGGGGTGACGCCTGGAAGGATCCAGCAGGGCTGGTCACAGCCGTGCACAGCGGGAAAGGAAATGCCGGTTCGGGGGTCCTCTCTCTGCAGACTCAGCCTCAGCCCCACATCCCTCCACTACGCCCTCGGCCCCATCTCACCTGGGAGCAGGAGGCAGCCCCACAGCAGGACCAGGGGCCTCATGGTGGACACAGGACACGCAGGAGCACACGCGGGCGAACTGGGAGCGCCTCTTGGGAGCACGTGAGCTTTAACTTCCTCCAGATGAGTGGGATCCAAACGAGGAAGGGAGGGGAGGGGCCCTGTGGGTCACCCTGGGCACCCAGCCCAGGGATCCGCCTTTGCCATTCAATCTAATT